GGCCAAGCCCCATGCTGGAGTTGGGGATAGAAGAGCACCCAGTGACAACCTCTACAGAATGGAGGGAACTTGGAAGGAAGAGAGACAGCTACTGAGGGAGGCGTCCCAAGGTGAGCATCAAGCAGCGTGTCAGCTCCTCAGTCATTCATTCATTCCGTGAGCACTTATTAACCACCCACTGTGTGAGGGGCACATTGCTGGGCACTGGGCATACAAAGAGAAAAAGGAGACCAGTCCCTGCCCCCAGTGAGCTTACGTTCTCTCAAGGGAGAATGTACGGTACCCAGAACCTTACAGGCATTTCTGCGGGAGGATTCTAGCCACTGGAGGGAGCATGGGAGTGGGTGCAGCACCAGGCTTTCTTCAGCTAAACCTTGAAGGAAGTGAGGTATTCTATGGGATAGAAGAGAGCCAGACATAGGAGAACTGCCTATGCAAAGGCAGTGAGAGAGGAGATGAGACACCCACGTGCAGGAGACAGCCAGAAGGCCGGTTTGGCTAGAGCATGAAGTACATGGAGGAGAGTAATAGCTTGAAAGGTAAGTGGGGAAGGGCTTTAAATGCCCAACAGAGAAGTCTGCATCTGATCCTAGGGGTAAGAGTGGCCACTGCCTCCCAGGGCTGGGCTGGGGCAGATCCTCACGGACAGTCACATGGTAGGTAGAGTCACGATCTACGCCAAGCATCAGCCCGGCGTCACCCCTCCCTGCCGCCATGATCAGTTTGGCAGCTTGTGAAGGATGGAGCAGGGAGGGGAGAGAATGAGGGACCAGTTCGCTGTTGTGATAGTCCAGGCAAGGGATGGCCTGAGCTAGGGTGGTGACTCTGGGAGGGGACAGGAGGAAGGAACCCCATGGGAGAGACATGATGGGAGAAACAATCGCGTCGGTCAATGTTTGGATCTATAGAGCGAGAGAGGGTGAAGAGTTATGGGTGATGCGGGCTATAAACCCAGAAGAAGGGGAGGGAGGAAGGTGGTGCCCTGGACAGAAAGACTCGTAGGCTACTAGACATAAAAGAGGTACATTTTAGGGGGAAGGCTGGTGAGTTTTATTTTTACCATGTTGCATTTGAGATACTTCTTGGCCCTGTTTGATCAGGAGGTATGAGAGAAGCAGGCAGCCTTAGAGAAGGGGCTGAAGGATGGGAGATTTCTCCAGGAGAAAGCCAGGTCTCAGCCAATGCTGGAAGATGAAGGAGAGGCTAGGATCTCGGGTTCAGAACGAGAAGGAGGATATCACACCCCCCTCCTCGGTCTACATTTGAGGAAGTCAAGGCCCAGAGTGCTAAGGCAGCTTTCCTAAATTCATACGGGCCAATGGATGAGCCAGAATCCAAACTCAGGCCCTCTGACTCCAAACACAATCCTCTGTCTCCTATAGACCAGCAGGGTGGGCGTCAGAGAGGACACAGCTGGAATGAGAGATCCAAGAGGAATGTGCCTAGGATTGAGCTTGCTATTAGAGGGTGGACAGAGGCAGGCAGAGGGTCAGCCACCTTTGCCGCCAATCCCCCAGCTCACTCAGCACTGACCGTGGGCATCCACACGGAGAGTGCCCAGCTGGAGGAATTGGGCCCCTGGGATGACACTGTGTGGAATGCAGCCTCAGTGGCCGAGGGCTCATCGAAGCTCTGCCTCACTTGCCACTGATCATGTAACCAGGTTTCAAGCATGTTTTTTCCCCTCCTGTGGAATGGCACAATCTCAGATCAAGAAGGGACATTGGTCAATGGCTATCAAATCCAACTCTTATTGAGTATGCATCCCCGCCCCTCCACAGCATCCCTGGCAAGTGAGCACCCAGTCTTTGCTAGGAGACCGCTGGTGACGGACACCCAAGGTCGCCCATCCCGCTCCAGGCTAGCTCTAATTTTGACATTCTCCTTGACATCCGGCCCAAATTCTCCTTCCTTCATGCCCACCCCCATAATGCTCCTGGCTCTTTCCTCTGAGGCCAACCTTCTTCCTCCCCATGGAGACCTTTCAAATGCTGGAACGGCGACTCCAACCACCCTGAGTCTTTTCTCCAAGATAAATCAGCCCAGCTCTTTTATCAGATGCTCATGTGATGTGAAGTCAAGACCCTTCTGACCTCCTCTAGACACTTCCCAGCTGACCGATGTCCTTCAGCCATGATACCCAGGAATGGACCCTAAAAAAGACCTTGTCATCTCCCTTGTCCCAGACTCATTCTGAGATTCCATTTCCCCACCTCCCATGAGTGGAAATTGGGTTAGATGACCTTTGACCAAGCTCCTGGTCAATACAGCTGCATCCCAGGTGCCATGGAGAGGGGAGCGGATATTCAAGGGTCTTTTAGTGCTTTCACCCAAGGTATGCCTGAGGGCTGCCCTACCCAGGCTGGGACTGGTGGGCACTTCTCCTCAAGTCCCAGTCAGGAAGTTGCCACTGCCTCCTAGGGCTGGGCTGGGGCAGATCTTTATTGACAGCCATATGGTAGGTAGAGTATAGTTATGATCATAGTTATGATCTATGCCAAGTGTTGGCCTGGTGTCACCCCTTTCTACTCCCCCTGCCCCCTAGCAAGCCCCAAGCTCAGTGCCTTCTTGAAACCCTTGAAACCCTCGAAGATTGGGGGGGGGGGAGAAGAGGGAAGACAAGAATGGCTCCCAAAGCCCCAGCCCCAGAGTGTCACAGGGCTTCCCTCTCTCATCTGTCTGTCACCAGACCCAGTCAGGCCTCTGGGACTCTCCAATTCCTCCAGAAAACCCCCAGCCCTAAAGTGGACAAAGCCTCGCCTACCTTTCATTCAGACTAGACTCATTCAGCTTTAAAAAGTTTGCCCAGGGAATTAAGGGGTAGGCAGATAAACCAGAGAAGGCTAGAATTATGCAAGAGACAAAGGCAGCGAGATCTTCCCCAGTTAACCCCGTCTGACCCCAACCTCTGAGGCTGCCAGCGTATCCCTGAGAGGGGCCGGGCAGGACTGGACAGGTGCCCATCAGGCCCACCTATGCAACACAATGGTCAGGGAGTGAAAATCAGCCTGCTCCCTGGAAAGAAAGAACCTTTCCATTTATGACAAAAGGCATTCCTATGCCAGCCCTGACAGCAGACATTCAGACTCCTTCCCCCGCCCTCGGTCCCCCACACCCACTCTGCCTCCCCCTTAGGAGTGGATAACTCATATCATGCAAAGTGGAGAAGAGAGAAACAAGAGAAAAGCATTACTTTACATCCTGTCTGGAAAGCAAGTGATCTGATCAACAAATGAGGGGCCTCTCCCAGGCTGGTGGCATATTATAAAAGAAGAGTCAAGCCAAAGGAATTAATCTGGATGGTGAAATTTATGGGACCATGGAAGGTTATTGGGTGGGGTGGGAATAGAAGTGGGGGTGGCATTCCCAAAGCCCCATAAATCACACCCACAGAGTCTGCCTGCTTCTTTGCTGACCCTGATACTGGTGATAGTAGCCAGCGTTTCCATCATGCTTTGAGGTTTACAAAGTGGTTTTTTTCTCCCAAAATAGCCCTCTTAGGTAGGTGGTGCAAAGATTACTATCATCATGTCATAAATGAGGAAACTGAGGCATAAGTGGGCCCCTAGTGGTGAAGGTGGGAAGAAGGAAGGACTGTGGTCAAGTAGGAGGCAGACCAGCCACAAGCTTGGATCCCCCGCCCAAGCCCATCTGTCTCCCATAAATGCCATGGTTTGCCGATCCCTTATTTTCCCAGTGTAGCCCATATAAGCTATGAGAATCCTTATTCCAACTCCAACTCACAGATAAGCCTTGGGCCCCAAGGCAAGGACATATCTCCCCTCTTGGGTTTCTAGAGGTACCCCTGAGCATCTGGGGGGTGGTTCTCAAATGTTGATCCAAGCATCCAGTTCAGTTCAGTCCATTCCCTACTGATAACGGCCAGTTCTCTATAACTAAACAGCATCGACTAACTTGCTCCCCAGACCCTAGCTATACTGCAATGGCAAGGGTCCTGGCTACTAGGCCATGAAATGTTGGAAGGAACTGGGAATATTTAGCACGGATCAGAGCAGACTTGAGGGTGAGGGTGGAATAGGAAAGGTGGGGACCTCCTAGTCCCCACCTTCAGGCATTGGAATGACTGGAAGATGGCCCCAGAGGGAAGAACCACAGTGATGAGGGGTGAAGGAAGACCAGTTTCCTAAGGGAGAAAGCCCTTCCTGATGATCCCCAAGCTGTCTCCCAGAGGGATGAATGGGCTGCTGCCTCGGGAGGGCATGACTTCTCCATCACTGGAGGTCTTCATGCAGAGGCTGTGCTGGTCAGCTCTGGGGTGGATCAAATGGCCCTGGAGCTTCCTTCTGGCTCAGATTCTGTGAAGATGTGGCCAATCCTCTGGCTCTACAGTGTTGAAGGACGGGGACTGGACCCAGAATTTCATTGATATAGAAACTCCCAGAAGAGGGACTCCCTCTGACAGCGGAGCGGCACCTTCACGTATTAGAGAGGGGCCTCAGGTTAATGACTTGCTCAGGGTCACACAACTAGATCAAAGTCAAGGCTTGCGCCCAAATCTTGCTGGCTCTGCATCCACTATGTTCCCCTCCCTCTCGTTCTGCTGGTGTGTGTGGGGGTGTGGATTGGGAGGGGAAGGGGTAAGGACCAGGCTTGACGGTCAGAGACCCAAACTCTCATTTCAGCTCATCCACAGCTGTATGTGGCCTTGCAAGGTCGCTTCCACTCTGTGGGCTCCAAGCCCCCATCATGGACAGGATGGTCTCCTGGCCCCCTTGCTGCTGGCAGAGCCCATGACTCAGAGTCTGGCACTAAGAGTCAGTTTTCCCTCCTGGTGTTTGTCCTAATTTTGGAAAAAGAGCCAGAAATGTCATCGTTGGTGGAATGTTGAGGGCAAACACTGTTATCGTGGATTCCAGCACCCTGTTTGATCAAATGATTCATGGGCAAACTTTGTGAGGCTGAAAGATTAGCCTGGCTTCCATGAAAGCCACTCAGCCTGCTGCTTGGGGCCCCGGGGGTGGCTTTCCAAGTCCTCGGAGTCTTCACACAGAGGAGGCAGCTTGGGAAGGAACATCAGCCCCTTGGCTTCCTCCTGTGGCCAAGAACCGGCTGGCTCTGGTATCCAGAGGTACCCAGAGTCGCCTGCAGCTCGAGCCCAGGATGAAGGAGACGCCACCACCATCCCAGGAGGACATTGCCCAGCAGACCACACTGAAACCTCTGCTCCCAAGTAAGCACAGGCTGCGCCATTAAGAGGGGACATCTCCGGGTTCGATTCCACATAGACCCAACTCAGTGTGCATAGTTTTTATGCCAAATATGAAACTAAAGAGGAAGAATTTGATAAAAGTCTTTAGACCAGTGTGTTCAGAGCCAATGTCTCAGTCTGATCTGGCAGTGCCGCTCATGTGTGTGGTTTGAGGGGGGCGTCCTTAGACTTGGGTCCAAAGGAGGTGGCTTCTGGGGAGTCAGCAGAATCTGAAACCTGCCCTGTAACTGAGGCCAGTGAAGGGAAAGGAGATTAAGGAATCACCAGTTCCAAGCTGGGAAGGAACCTCAGAGGCACCGGTGCAACTCCTGCCTGACCATGAATCCCCCCAACAACATCCCCAGCAAAGGGTCATCCGAGCTCTAGGGAGGGGAGCTCACTACCTGTCGAGGCAGACAGTGCTTCTTGGAAGGATGTCTTTCCTTACATCCTGCCTGAATCTGCCCCTCAGCAATTCAGCTCCCCTCCCCTGTTTACTCCTAGTTCTGCCCTGGGGAGAAACTGAGCAAAAGACGGTTCTTCAAGTACTTGACAACAGCTCGTGTCCCCTCTAAATGGTGCCCACGAGACATACCTGGTTCCTGGGACAAATTCCCTGTGGCTTGGTCTCCAGATCCCTCCCCATCCTGATTAGCCAACGTGATCTTTATCGCAGTAAGCGTGTCTCTAGTTGCTTAGAAATGGGGGAAACAGGAAAATTGTTGTGTCATTCAACCGTGTCTAACTCTTCATGATTTAGGGTTTTCTTGGCAGAAACACTGGAGTGGTTTGTCATTTCCTTCTCCAGCTCGTTTTACAGATGAGGAAACTGAGGCAAACAAGGTTAAGTGACTTTCCCAGGTTCCATTGCTACTAAGTGTCTGAGGCTGGATTTAAACTCACAAAGATGAGTTTTCCTGATTCTGAGCCTTCCTGATTCCACTGCACCACCTAGCTTCCCCAAACAGGAAAATTAGGGGCTAATTATGTCATAGTCTGACTCAATCACTCCAGCAATAAGCATTTTTGAAATATCTAGGTGTCAGGTACCAGGTCCTGCAACCCAAAGGACTTACTGAGTCACAGATTCTGAAATGAAGTATTTCTCCCTTTCCCTCCCTGCTAAGGCAAAACTTCTTTTCTCTGATTCTAGCTGTCAGGGAAGAAAGTACCCAATAAATTAATTCACACTAGGGTAAGAAGAGCAGACATCCTTCGATCTGCTATCAACTCTTCACACTGGGATGCAGGATTCCAAACCTATCTCTCGTCCCAATTACCTTCGTCCTTCTTTGCTGAGGTCCTCCTGGAACCTCTATTTTGAGGAAGGGCCCGACCAGCCATGCCTCATTCTCTGGATGTCATCATCACGCTCCCACACCTTTTAAGGGTGGTGGTACCCCTCCAGGGAGCATCTTGAGGACAGGCACCACCTCACTTTCATATTTGTATTCAGTGCCTGGTATAGAGGAAGTGCTTAAAAATGCTTGGTGACTTGACTGAGGACCCCGCCATCCTGTCTCTCTTCCAGGGGAAGGATGCAGCTGTCCTTCATCTGCTTCACCCGCTCAGAGTCCTCCCCTCTCCCCTCTCCCTCCCACCCTCTATGGAAGCAGTTGCCAAGTCTTGTCAAATCTCCTTCCAGCAGGTCTGTCACACCCACCCCCCCTTCCAGTCACACCTGCTACCTGAGTCCAGGTGCTTGTCCCCTCTGGATCCTAGTTCCTTCCTCTGTGAATTATGTGCTATTTGTCTCATATATCATTTGTTTTGTTGTCTTCCCCATTGGGTTGTAAGCTCCTTGAGGGCAGGGACTGTCTTTTGCCTCTTTTTATATCCCCAGCACCTAGCACTTAGCACAGTGCCTGGCAATTAGTAGGCACTTAATACATGTGTATTGAATTGAATTGAATTCTATCTCACCCATTACTACTGTGATAGTTTTTCTTTGGTCACCCCACCTCCAGTTTCTCCCTTTTCTAAACCCATCCCCCAAAAGCTACCAAAATAGTCATCCTAAAGCAAAGGTCTGACCATGTCACTCTCCTGATTGAGAAACTTCACAAGCTCCCCACGGCTCCTGTATAAAATACAAAATCTTCATCCTGGCATTCAAAGACCTTGACCTTCTGCTCCGGCCTCCCCTTCCATGCCCCTTTCGTGATGATGCCCAACACACCCTCTACATTGTATATTCTAATCAAATGAGCTGACTTACTGCTCAAGAACTCATGCCTACCTTCCACCTTTGTGCCTCCATTTTCTCTCTGTGAATAACACACTTTGTAAACATTAAGGTATTAGGTGTATGTTAGTGGTCAAAGGTCAGGAAATCTGAACGGTTCCATGCTCTCCGTTGCCTCATCATTGAGGGAGGGTGACCCTGGCTTCTGGAAGTCTCTGCCAGATCAGAACGAGCCAGAAAGGGCTTGGGCTGAGACCCTGCCATGAGGCTTTGCCTGGCTTCTAAGGACCAGTGAGAAGCTGGCCACCTGCTTGGCCACAGAAAGTTTTAGCTACAATGTCTCCCCTGGAGTATTGAAATGACCTCCTGGTTGGGCTCCCTGGCTCCATTCCCTCCCTGTTCCAGTCCATCCTTCAGTCAGATGCTAAGGCAATTTTCCTAAGACATAGGTCTAACCATGTCTCCTCCCCACCTTGCCCTCCTTGCTCAATAAATCCTAATGGTGAATGGTGTCTCCCCATCACCTCCAGGTTCAAATTGAGTGACCTCCTCTGGTTGGCATTAAAAGCCTCGGCTCCCTCCCCTTTTTCTAGCTCCCATCAATGCACTCTCCAGTCCAGCTGCACTGGTCCTTCCATCTCGTGCCTCCTGGCTGTGCCACATGCCTGGAATGCCCTCGCTCCTCACCTCTTCCTCTTAGAAACCGAGACTTCCTTCAAGACTCAGCTTCAATCCCTTCCACAGGAAGCTTTCCCCAGGCCCCCAAACTGCTGGAGCTTCCCCCCTTAGGTTACTTTGTATCTCATTTGTGTGGATCTTGTATGGATTTAGTTCTTTGCACGTTGTCCACCCTGTAGAATGTAAGCTCCTAGAGGGCAGGAGCCCTCTTAGCCTTTATTGATTCTTTGTATTACCAGCACATAGTAGGCGCTTGTGAGTGACTGGATGTTTCATCCAGAGTGACTGTCAAAACTTATTTACAACATCCTGGGGCCATAATCTCTGTTCCTTATAGTATTATTGCTATTACTCACATGATGATGTAAATAGTAATATGTGTGTGAAAAGACACAAAGTAAAGGGGAAAGTGGCCTGGTAAGGTAAGGCATGAATGGCTAGAAATCCACCTCAATGAAGCAGAGATGCAGACCCAGAAGAGACATCGAACACCATCTGGTCCAACCCCCTCATTTTTCAGATGAGGAAACTGAGGCTCAGAGGGGTTGTGGCAGTGGCAGAGCCAGGATTCCAGGTGAGGCTTCTGGTGCCAAAGCCAGCACTCTGCACTGTACTGCCCACTGTTACTTCACTGCCTTCTCCAAAGATCTTCTGACTCCTGCTTTTATGCTTTTTATACTGGGGGGGGGCTGCCCTGGAGATAACACAGACCTAGGGAAGGATCACTATGGTGGTTATTGCCAACTACCCCTCCCCAGGTGTTTTCAAAGAGTTTGGCACAGCAGAGCAGTATCTGGAATCCAAAGGAATGGCTCCCTAATGGTGAAACTTTGGTGACCCCAGGTAGACTCAAGGGGCAGGCTGGGAGCAAAGGCAACCTTCCTCGTCTGATGTTGTCTTTTTTCTTGCCCATCCTCCTTCCCCTCCCCCAACACATGTCCTCGGTGCTTTTCCCTGGCCCAAGGTCTCTTTGGACCAGACAAACTGATAAATCAGCCCTGTCCAGCTTGTCAGCTGCCAGAGGTCAGTCCTACAGGACCATAGGGTAAGTGTTGGACAAAAACCTGGCTTTTTTGAGTGCTGAAATGGGGTTTCCAGCATGACCCATTTTTTCAGAACCCTTTTTTGCCATCATCTCTGAGGGATGATCAGAGGGATCTCCCCTGCACAATTTCCTGTGGGCCTGAGGGACAATATGGGCCTTGGCTGCCCACTCTAAAGGAAGCCAGGACATTTTGTGTTTAAAGGCTTCCCAGACCCTTATTGGAAGGGACCAACACTCTCATTCTACAGAAGAGGGACCTGAGACCCAGAGCAGTGAAGTCACACAGATTATAAGGGGCAGAGATGGGATCTGAGCTGAGGTCTTTGGATTCCAGAGCCAGCAGCAGTGCTAAAACCATATCACCCATATCATTCAAAGGGTCTAGAGAGGAGCAATAGAAAAGCTGAGGCGCAGAGAGAGGAAGAGCCTGGGGCCACGATGTCCCCTCAGAAATGATGGGAGATGCTCCCAGTGAGGAGGCAGGAGGAGGTTGGGGCTGGGAGCGGATGCAGATTGAGCCAGAAGATACTGCCGAGATAGGCCTGTAGTGACCAGCTCCAGCCTTGCCGAATGCCAGTGCCGATCCATCCCGGATCTGACATCCTGTCCCAGCCCACAGCCCTCCCTCAGCCTCCCCTCAGGCTTCCAGATTCAACGGATTGAGAGCGCGGGAACCACAGACCACCTTGGGGTAGGTGTGGAGGACAGTACCGGGGGAAGCTGAGGGACAAAGGAGTGTGGGAACTGAGGAGATGGGAAGGATTTCAGGAAAGCGTGAGGCCCACAAGAGCACACTCAGAAATCAGGCTGCCTTCAAGACAAACCCGTCTTTGAGGCTCAGGCTCGGGAGCTCCAGAGCACTCTGCAAAATGTGAAACAGTGTGTCAAGGATAGCTACTTCTGTACATGGTCTCCTCATCCATGAACAAAGCTCAAAGCTCTCTTGTAATAATCACCACGGACAGGTGCCCAGCACTTCAGGGCTTGCCTTAAAGCACCACGCAGGCATCCTCTCATTGGAGCCTCTGCAAAGTCCTGTGAGATTCAGCCTCAGGACACTCTTATCCCCATTTT